ACATTTCATCTTTATCCCTTTCTTATCTCAGATAATAATAATCACCTAGAAATCTACAACCTAGAGATCTACAATGATAACTTAGAATCTATAACTTACAATGATGACTTATAGACGTACAACCTAGAGATTTACAACTTACCCTACAATACAACTCAAGAGTCTACAAACTCCTGATCTGCTTCTCTCTCTCTCGTTTTTTTCTTTCCCAAAGTCATTTGTCTTTTCCTCTCTCTCTCTCTCTCTCTCTCTCTCTCTCTCAGTTTGCAAAAGATATTTCCCTCTCAATTTACAAATGGCCATGGACAATTGACGTGTTGCTTTGCTGCTCCTATTCTATCTTAGTTTCGCCATCTCTGCCACTGCCTTCACATTCTTCACTGCCACAACTTAGCCGAGGCCCCTTCAAATAGAAACCCTAGCTCCTTTGGCTCTCTACTTCGCCAGTCATCGTGCTTTGCTTCGCTGCCATGGCCAATATCAAAGTTCCTCTTTTTCTCACCACTTTCCTTTGACTGTAAATTATTTTCAGTTGAAGCATGAATGGATTTTATTATATTATTTTTGGTTCTTGCAATTTTTTGTCCTTTAAAAATGTTGGAATTTTTTTTTATCCAAAGATACTAAAGGGTTAGAAACAACAATGAGTGGTCAGTTTCGACTACCGGCCGAAAACTTTCAAATCTGTTCCGTTCGGTTTCAAACATGTAGTGGGTCGAAATTTGGTAGTTCATTTTCCAACCCGATATGGTCGGTTCGGGTGGCAGATACACAGCAAAAGCGATATGATCCGTCCCATGAACACCCCTACGTATGAGTAAAGAGTGAAGATGTTGGCGAATTAGACAACCTAAGTTTACTGAACTTATGAAGGGGCTTAACAAATGGAAGAGTGATGATGTTAGCCGTATTAAAGAAGTATCTTTTTAAAGAAAATTCCTGATCCTTTTCATAACAACTTTTCTTCCCATACATTTTTGCCTTGTCAAAGGGAAGGAAATAGGAATGTGAGCTAAAATTCCTTTTTAAGTCTCTGGTTTGGAGCAATTTGTAAATTTGTAAATTTTCTCATTTCGAAAAAATTAATCTAATCTTTTGGAGAAGGCATGGTAATTATATCTGACTACCAGAAGTGACCAAGAACTTGATCAAATTAAATTCACAGCAACAACACGCTTTGGATAAGCTTTGATTCTTAATAAAGTTCCCACCTTTCCAAGTGAGTATTCTAGAGTTCGACACATTTAGAATTACTCGCTACACCAACCATTAAACCCCATGCCGCACCACTTCATGCATTTTTATATAATCTAGCCAGCTCTAGTGCAATTTATACAATGCCAAAACCCTGATAGCTCTCTAGCTTTCACTCATCATATGTGCCTCCTTTAATTTTTGTAAGAAATGCAATGTATAAAAAGAAATAGAGAATTGTATTATTGATTGATGTATGTTATGTGTAAAGTGAGAGAGAGAGAGGAGATACATGTGCAAATCAAGTTGTGTTGCGTTTTCTTTTCAAAAGATGGAGTAAAATAATAAAAAAAAAGAAAAAGAAAGAGAAAGTTAAGTGGGTTTTCAAAAGATGGAGTAAAATAATAAAAAAAAAAGAAAAAGAAAGTTAAGTGAGCTCTCTCTCTGTAAACTGTGTGTGTGTGAATGGTGTGTTGGGTTTACTAAAACTGCCATTGGCATCCTCCTGATTTCCAACATGAGTTTCCCCTTCATTTCCCATTGACCCATCGTCAGTACTATGATGGAGTGCTGTAGGGATGGCCTTCAAGTTTAGGTCTTGCAATGGGAGGATTCTTGAATTGGGGTTTGATTTATCCTCAGATTCATGCTCCAATGCTTCCCACTCTGCCAAATGTGGAACATTGGAACCCCACCCAGGCAAGTCTTTCTCAGGAAGTCGGCTCACATTAACCATGTGAATAGGGGAAGGGATGTCTCTGAGATGTGTAGTACCAGGGATCTGAGCTTCCAATGTATACGTCAAAGCAATGAGCTTCAGATCAACATCTGAAAGGGTCTGTAAGTCACCAGCTGACGTCATAATCCGGCAGGTCGTCGGCGAGGACCACCAGTTGAACTACGACCACCACCACTTCAGCCTCTTCAAGAGCAAGTTCGGAAAGTCGTACGCCACCAAGGAGGAGCACGATCACAGGTTCTCGATGCTGCGGTGGTGTCGCGGAGGACTTCCGGGGAGGTGTATGCCGGAGTGCCACAGGCGGTTTGGAGCACTTGCGGTGGAGCTGGTTGTCCGGCGAGGCGGAAGGGAAGCGGGAGGACGGTGCTGCGGTGGTGTCGCCGAAGCTACGGAGGAGGAGACTTTGAGTTGTAAATTTGGATGGGTTGATCTGAGATCCCCCTACTGTTTGCAGATTTGGATTTGGTGCTGATGTGATAATGACATCAGAATCTTGCCGAAACGGTACTGAGCGTTGCAATGAGACACTACAAAAGCTCAAGAAAAAAAAAAACGTACGCCACCGAGGAGCACGATCACAGGTTCTCGGTGCTGCGGTGGTGTCGCGGAGGACTTCCGGGGAGGTGTATGCCGGAGTGCCGCAGGCGGTTTGGAGCACTTGCGGTGGAGCTGGTTGTCCGGCGAGGCGGAAGGGAAGCGGGAGGACGGTGCTGCGGTGGTGTCGCTGAAGCTACGGAGGAGGAGACTTTGAGTTGTAAATTTGGATGGGTTGATCTGAGATCCCCCTACTGTTTGCAGATTTGGATTTGGTGCTAATGTGATAATGACATCAGAATCTTGCTGAAACGGTACTGAGCGTTGCAATGAGACACTACAAAAGCTCAAGAAAAAAAAAAATGATGTTGTTGTCAATATTCAAGGGGATGAACCTCTAATTGATTCGGACGTAATAGATGGGATTGTCAAAGCGCTGCAGGCAACCCCAGATACAGTGTTTAGCACTGCAGTCACATCTTTGAAACCTGAAGACGCATGTGATCCGAACCGAGTGAAAGAGAAGAAAATATGGGAAGGTATGTGTAGAAAATATGGGAATAGGTTGAGGTTCAGCGGGCGGCCAAGGCGAGGTTGCCGCCCGCCGGTGAAGCGAAAAATACTAAGTTCTTAACCTTGCTCTGATACCATGTAAGAAATGCAATGTATAAAAAGAAATAGAGAATTGTATTATTGATTGATGTATGTTATGTTTACAATGATTCCTATATATAGGAGAGGGTGAGTGTGTAGTAGGTGAGGAGTAGGTGAGGAGTAGGTGGAGAGTAGGTGAAGTGGGTGGAGTAGGTGTAGTGGTAGGTTTTGGTACATTTTAACAATTTTCATGTCCCAACCCAACCTAAACAGGACTCTTCAGCATACATGATACCCCAATGTGCTGCCTATCAAGGCTCAACCTCTGCTAAAAATGTCAATCCAACTTTCTCCCAAGTATACTCTTGCCAAGATGATAGATAATATCAGTCTTTTTTATTAACTAATATAAATTAAACTATAAAGTTAAGATCACCTTATATCCAATATGAAACAAGTTCTACTTTTCAACCCACCATAACTTGTGCAACTCAATGTCTCTTGATCATCTGATTCCAGCTCTGGAATAAATTAGTCAAATCAAATGGAAATTTAAATGCAAGATTGATGAACAATGATTGTTTGGGGAAATCAAGCGGCAAGTCTCATGTCACTGCATCAAGTTTTATCCAAAATGTTAGCATCAATACTCGTCAATGGAGTTCCCTTTGTGCCATATTATTCAATCTTTAAGAAATATACCGTGCTTTTTGAATGTCAGTACTTCATCTTATAATTGGTATAGCCTTTGTTGATGGCCTGAAAATTGTATGCAACTGCAATGCCGTTTTCACTCTGAATGAATTTTTGTATGAGTTACTAGTGTAAATATAAGCTTACAACCATGTAACCATCTTAATTTTTGAAATTCTGTGTCAGCCTGAGTCTTTAGTTACATCAGAATAATGCAAAACCATATCATTCCCTGATGTTTCATGGATGGTTTTTCTCATTGGTATGACTGAAATTTTTATTGATCACTTTGACTCTGTTTCATCTAGATGAATGTGATAGAGTTTCTTTTTAGCTATTGTTTTCTGTTACATCATAAGAATTGGTCTAGCTGCTGCATTTGACCTAGCCCAGTCCAGGAGTAAAGGGATCTCTCCTAGAGACATCTGTTGTTATCTATGAAGCACGGTCTGGAGGTCACCTACCAGTGTTGGACACGAACGCACTCTTGACACTTGTTAGACACGCTTGGACACTTGGGACACGTTGAGGACACACCACCTTGTGTCCCATTTATTTATTTATTTACCCAAATAACACACCCAAGGTTGAAAATTTTGATGAAATTAAATATTTAACACAAAATAAATATTTAATATTTAAAAATATGATATATAATAAATATATAAAATTATATATTTTGCATGTGTCCCCAGCGTATCGTGTCTTGCATTTTTTGAAAATTTCCGTGTCCTTGTGTCTATGCTTCTTAGGTTGCTATGTTATTGTGGCCATTAATGATCAAAAGATTTAGAGACACATTCATTTTGGCAGGTGAAATCTAAGAAGCACGGACACTTTTAAGAAGGTAATGTGTTGTGTTTGACAAGGTGTCCACGACACTCGTTGGACACCTCCCAACACTTAGACACACATGAAGCATGTTACAAGTTTGAATAAAATTACGATTCAATGATAAAACAAAAACAATGTAAATTTATATCTATTCTCTTCCTTTAGATTTTAAAAATTATTATCTTTAAATATTCATTTATGACATATAACAATTATTTATCCTCATATATGATATATAATAAATAAAATTATATATGTTGCATGTGTCCCTCACACGTCTTGTCCTACATATTTTGAAATTTGTGTTGGCGTGGCATGGTGTCACAAATCCGTGTCCGTGTCCGTGTCCATTCTCAATGTGAAATTAATTTATTTAGATCTGACCATTCACTTATTTTTATCTCATATCTAGAAATGGGGATGTTTATGCTGGGGAATACTTTGCGGACAAGATGCATGGATTTGGAGTGTACCGTTTTGCAAATGGGCACTGGTATGAAGGAGCCTGGCATGAGGGCAGAAGGCAAGGACTTGGAATGTACACTTTCAGAAATGGGGAGACCCAATCTGGGCACTGGAACAATGGGATTCTTGACATCCCGAGCACCCAGAACACCACCTATCCTGTATCTCCTGTTGCGGTGTATCATTCCAAAGTACTCAACACGGTCCAGGTATATTTAATATTACTTCCATCACTCTTATAAATGTATCCTTGTACGTATTGAAAGAAAAAAATTGTTTCTATTGCTGTAACGTGTGATGCATAACTTCATGGCATGTTTGAACTGTTAATTTTGTCCGATCCCAAATATCCCCTAAATTCTTTGGGTAGCAGCTATTTGATTGATATTCCATGTGGTGCAACTAGTGATAATTTGCTGAGCATTTTTTTATCTGTTTTCCTTGCACATTTTTCAAAGCTCTTTGGTAAGAAGACATTGTAGTCTTGTAAAAATGTTTAATGGAGAAAAGTGTATCCTACATGCGTTTCATTGACAAAATTTTGCAACAATCATTCCCAATTGTCAATAGCTATTTGTCTGGCCATTTTTTTTCTTCAAACGTTACCAACTTGGTAAAATATGAACTTTTTTGAGGTTTTGGCTAAGGGCATGAATTCATACAATTCTTAGAAGTTTGTTAGGTTAACCTGCCTTGTCAACATGAAATTGGAGCATCTGTTTGCTTTTATGGTTAATATTGTAAAATACTTGGTTCAATTTAATAATGATAATGATCATCGGTCTTGAATGTATCTTTTGTTAGACCTTATGTATGATTTCCATCTTTTGATTGAAACTAGATGCTGTAGTTTTTTAGTCAATCCGGTACTGGTGGTTGGGATCCTCTAAATTAGTCCGTCATGGCAATGAGTTATTTTCCTTTCAATCTGACAGGCATAGAATTAGTGAAAAATCAGAATTTGTACAGCTGAATCTAAACTTTTGTCTTGGGATCATATGGCTAACATCTCGTTCTAGTTTTCATGGTTTCTGTTAGGCACCCTACATCACTCTCTCAGTGTTGGGAAACAAACTTAAAGATGAGAAAACTGTATTCAATTTGAAATACTAATACATTTTTTTTCATAAAAAAAAAAAGTTAATAAATAGAAGAGATAGTTGAGAGGTTTGTCTAATACAATCTATTTCACTATCAGGAAGCTAGACGAGCATCAGAGAAAGTGTATGACGTGGCGAAAGTGGACGAAAGAGTGAACAGGGCAGTGGCAGCGGCTAACAGGGCAGCAAATGCAGCTAGAGTAGCGGCGGTAAAGGCGGTCCAAAAACAAATTCAATACAATGGTAACAACGACAACATTCCTATGCCTTTTATGCAAGACTGGTAATCCGACTCTAATATCACTAAAATCATCAATCAAGCTTCTACTACATGAGATGGCTGCTAGAGAAGTTGCATTTTGTGATTTTCCTTCTAGCATGCCTGCATTTTCCATTGCATTTTCCTTTCCTTTCCTTTCCTTTCCTCTCCTCGAGAGTATTATGTAATATGAGGCCTTTTTCAGTAGGAGGAAAGGGCTGAACTAATGAGTATTAGGTAGTTGCTAAGTTGCCCGTTCTTGCTCTAACATTGTGTAAGAGAGAGAAATGAGTGGCATCCAAAATGTATTTTGATTTTAATTTTCCATTTTTCTTCATTCTTGTAAAGTTCGGTTAGTTGTGAATTTGTAATATCTCGCGCTGGTGCCTAGGGAGAAACCTTAATCCGGCCAATGTTGTATGCGGAGTAATGATGATGTGGCAAAATGGAATACAAATGTTCTCTTTTTGTTGTTGGGTAGACTCGAAACTCTTGATTTATTTGATGAGGTGTAGGGATTCTAGCTAGCTGATCTAGCTCTAGTTGGTTTTAGATAGATACTGATCATTATAGCTATTTTATTAAGTTGGGGGAATTACATCCAGTGGGGCGATATATATATATATATGCTACATAACTTTAAATATATATATATATATATATATATATATTTTTTTATACATAAATATGGAGTGGTGCAAGCAAGTCACACTTTGCACTCTCACATCACAATATTTCACTTGCATCCCATTACAGAATCATTTGTACTTTACATGTTTTTGTAATTTTTTTCCTTTGTCCCACTGTATTATAATTTTCCCTATTAAGTGAAAGGTGTTGTTTTGTAATGCTTATTGTTTTTTGTTTTATTTTTTTTGGAAATTAGAAATGAAAATTTGTTTGATATATTGTTTTTGTTTTTGAAAAAAAAGGTGGATTTGATTCTAAAATCTTTAGAAATGAAAAAAAAAAAAGATGTTTATTTATTATTATTATTTTGGAGTGTGTTTTTTGCTTAGTTGTGTCAGCTCACAAAATTTATTTGTTTTGGTGCATAGTTGCTTGAAAGGGAAGCAGAATTAGGATATACTGACCAACAAAATGGAGAAATAAAACTTAACAAGAGATTCAAGCAAAACAATAATGGGGCTGGCTTTCCTCCGGTGCGTGATCGGACTGGAGGGAGCTATTGGGTCCGTGGGGGCTCACGTTGGAATTTCATTTCGATAATTTAAATCGTTTATGTGTAGAACTCGTCAAATACTATATACTTGTAAAAAATCATATTGATTAGATATCGATGTCTACATGATTAAATCAGTTTTGTATTAAAAAAAATAGATGGTGAAAAATAAACGAATGACAGAAATCTGATCCGATGAGATAGCTATCGATATTTGATAAACGTGTTGTTTTACTCCACAAGTTCTACGCATTGAACGGTTTGAATTATCGAAACAGGACCCGTGGTGGGTCCCCACGGACTCAACAGTACCCTCCAGCTCGATTACGGACTGAAGGGAAGCCTTGCCCAATAATAATGACAATTAACCCTTTTTTTTATATATATAATGAGTCTCTTGGTTCTAGGGTAGTCTCTTCTGGATTTTTCCAGAGTCCTAGGTGTTTGTGTAACACCATTGTTCTGTGTTACGTTAAATAATCTTAATTATGATTGTGATTATGTGTCTGATATGATTTTGAGTGCCAATTGTATGATTACATATGTTTTTGAGTTTTTATCTGTTTACCGTAGGAAAATTTGTCCAATTTACTAAGATAATTTAAAAATTGAGGGCCGTAGTGGCGACAAAAATTGAAATTGTTTGTACCAATGTGATTAACGTGATTTTTAGAGCCTATGATAAAATTTAATTAAAATCGATTCAGACCAAGTTAATTAGATTAAATTAATTGAAGTAAGCATAATTAATTAGCCTTAATCAAGTTTGATTAGGCAAGTTTATATAAGAGCCTATGTACACTTAAACTCATCCTTTGGAGCTCATTTTCATACTTGGCTGAAGTTACACTCTAGAGAGAGAGTGAGAGACGACTCTAGAGAGAGAGTGAAGGCAAAATTTGAGAGTTAGGCAAGGAGCTTGAAGATTAAGAAGGATAACTCAAGAACTAACTAGGAATTAGAAGATTAGAGCTCCTAAGTGAGTAAATGAACTCAAATTCATGATTCTGATATTCGTTAGTTCTATGGATTTGTTAATTTGAATCGAATATTCGTTATGCCAATGATTGAATAAGGCTGTTGGAATACGAATATGATTATGATATGCTTATGATCTCAAGCATGAAATGCGCATAAACATAAATGATTGGGCCAAAGGCCGTTTGACATAAATGATTGGGCTAAAGGCCGTTTGACATGAATGAATTGGGCTTGAGGCCGTTTGACATGAATGCATTAGGCCCGAGGTCGTTTGACATGAATGATTGGGCCAAAGGCCGTTTGGCATGAATGAATTGGGCCTGAGGCCGTTTGACCCGAATGATTGGGCCAAAAGCCGTTTGACACAAATGAATTGGGCCCCGGGCCGTTTGATAAGAATAAATTGGGCCCGAGGCCGTTGATATGTTTGGGCTTGAGGCCGTTTGATATGTTTGTTACGAATTTCATTCATGTAACTTCTTTATTTTGATATTATTCACTGAACTTTCACTCACTCTCATTTTTATGCATGTAGGTGAGCAAAAAGATGTCCAAACCCAGCTTCAGTGAAGAATATGAGAAGAAGTCAGTTTTGTGGAGTCAACCCGATTGTCTCACGCATGAGACTTTGTTTTTGTACTTTTGTTTACTCTATTTTTGCTATCTTGGTGAATTCGTTGGATCACCTATGTACATAAACTTTTGCTTGGCTGACTACATGTTTGAAGTTCCTAGATATATAAGATGTTAATTCTGCCTATATGTATGAGTTATTATGGAATGCTTTTAGAACAATTTTGCTATGCCATATAAGCATAGCTCATTGGACAAAATTTTAAGGTCTGCTTCCGCTTTGGAACCTTATTTTTATTGAAACATGTTTCATCAGAATTGAGGCCGTAGGTAATCTCTTGATTACTGGCCCGTTATAACCTTAATCCATAGGGGCGGGTTCAGGTCACGACAGAGTGGTATCAGAGCACGAGTTAATAACTCACATACTTGTCCAAATGAGCAATAAGCATTTAGAAAAGATCTAGGATGCATTCATGTGATAAGTATGAACTTGAAGACATTGAGAATATGCTTAAATGTTTCGAAATGAATGACTATGTGCTATATGTTTTGTGATTTACTTGCTTTATGAATTATTTGAATACGTATGCTCTTTTGTACATGCGTACTTGTGAACATTTTTGTATAAACAATAATGTAAGTCTAATCAGATAATGGTGAGAACAAGAGGTGATGAATTAGGAGAGTCCTCTACTGCCAGAATGGATAGGATGGAAAGATTGATACAAGATATGGCAAAAATATGAGGCAACAACAACAGCGATAGCAACAGTGGCAACAGCCACACCCTCTGCCTTCACTTTTAGCACCGCTTATACAAGACCTACAGAAATGATGACCAAACAATAGCTCTCACCAAAGAGTTTAAGTAGATGAAACCGCCACAGTTTCATGGGGGATTGAATCCATTGAAGGCTAAAGCATGGGTCCTTGGCATAGAGACACTATTTGAGGTGTTTCCTTGTCTAGAAACACAGAAAGTATTGCTAACCACCTTTACGCTAGAAGATGAAGCAAGAAGGTGGTGGATGTTAATGCATGAAAGCAATAAAGATATTGGTTGGGCATGATTCTTCGAAATTTTCTACGACAAATACTTTCCACAATGTGTCCATGACAGGAAAGTGTCAGAGTTTATGGGACTTAAGCAAAACATCATGACCGTAGCTGAGTATGAGGCCAAGTTTACTGAATTAGCCAGATTTGCACCACACATGGTCGATACCGACTATAAGAAAGAGAGGCACTTTGAAGGAGGGCTTTGAGATGATATCTTAGAGAAGGTGAATGCACTAAAGTTGGAAACCTATATTGAGGTGTTAGATCGGGCCATAATATCAGAAACTAACATAGCCAGGCAGACCAAATCATCAACTAATTGGAAAGTAAAAGGCAAGGCTTCTTTTCAAAGAAACAAAATATGGGCTCCTCAAGCACTTCAAATTCTTCCAGAGATACGTCTCCAATGTGCAACCAATGTGGTAAAAGGCATCGTGGGGTTTGCTACCATGTATCAGGGGCCTACTTTAAGTGTGGTAAAACAAGGCACATGGCCAGAGATTGTAATCAAAGCAGTGGGAAGTTAGCTGCTAGCTCAACTGCATCGATCCCAAAACCGAGAAACACTACGAGGCCTACTACCACCGGAGACACCGTGGGGCAAGGGAGAGTCTTTGAGCTTGTTCCAGGCGATACACAGAACACAGAAGCCGTTGTCTTATGTACTATCTCTATATGTAATCAGGATGTTTTTGTGTTAATTGACCCCGGATCAACACACTCCTTTGTAACTTATGCATTTGCATCTAGATTGAGTAGACCTCTAGAATCATTGCCATATTTGTTATGTGTATCTGCTCCATACGGGGAATCTGTATTGTGTACATCTGTATGTCGATTTTGTGATATACGTATTGGGAATGCTACTTTGTATGTAGATCTGTTACCCCTAGGCATGGACTGGCTATCTAGATACTGTGCCATCATTGATTGTGTAACGAAATGGGTTGTATTTAGACCACCGGGGCAGGAAGAAATTGTGTTTGTGGGTAACGGGGTAGTGCCTCCACCTTATTTGATATCTGCAATGAAGCATGTAAACTAATCAGGAAGGGGTGCCAAGGTTACTTCTGTTGTGTATTGTCTGAACAATCTGTGAATGTTGAAATGAACAGTATCCCTATTGTTAGTGAGTTTCCAGATGTATTCCCAAATGAATTGGTTGACAGGGAGATAAGGTTACTATTGATATTGTGCCAAACACTCAGCCTATCTCAAAAACCCCCTATAGGATGGCTACTGCTGAAATGAAAGAACAATTGCAAAACTTATTTGACAAAAGGTTTATTCGACCTAGTACTTCACCATGGGGTGCACCGGTATTATTTGTGAAAAAAAAGATGGAACCTTGCGCCTGTGTATTGATTACCATGAATTGAACAAGGTAACAATAAAGAATAAATATCCTTTACCTGTATTAACGACTTGTTTGATCAGTTGCAAGGCTCACAAGTGTTTTCTAAAATTGATTTGAGATCTGGGTACCACCAGTTGAAGGTAAAGGCAGAGGATGTTGAGAAAACTGCATTTAGAACAAGGTATGGTTATTATGAATTCAATGTTATGCCGTTTGGGGTGACTAATGCCCCTGCAGCATATATGGATCTTATGAACCGAATTTTTAAGGCTTACCTCAAATGAATTTGTTGTAGTTTCTATTGATGATATTCTGATATATTCA